CCACCTTGTAGCGCGCCAGTTCTCGTGCCACTAGCGCCGTCCTCCGCTCCGGTCGGTTGCTCCTCGGATTGTCTAAAAGGGAACGAACATTCCAGGCTGCCAGAGTGAGCGCGCTCACCCTGCCAGTCTGGTGACAACGAGTGGGGCAACGGGAAGGAGATGGAGAAGAAGATGACGAAGGAGAAGAATAGGCAGAAGAATAGACGGAGGTAGAGGAAGAAGAGGTAGGATGAGGAGAATGAGTATGGTTGTTGTTGTTGTTATTGGTATTGTTGTTGTTTCGATTTTGATTGTTTCGACCATGTTTAGACGTCTGCGGCCCTGGCTAGCCTGGAGACGGCGTGGTACCCAGCAATGTTCAGGCCACCTTTTCTAGGCCCTTCCCCTCGTGGGGGCTGGCAGTGCCATCCCTGAATAGGGCTGCCATGTGCCGTTGTGGCACGGCCGAACTCCACTATGGGACCACGACTTCGGGTTGTAGTGGAGAGCGACTCGAATTCGCCGTAAGCCGCGGTCTCCGTCGGCGAAGGTGGGCGCGTCAAGGCGGTGTCGATGTGGAGATCCATCCCGTCACCGGCTGTCGAGCGATGTGCAGAGACGGACCACGTCACGACGGTGCCGACGCAAGGTTCCATCCGACCTTCCATCCAGCGGAATCCGCAAACCCTGTGCACACGGCACAGCGCACAGGGCCCCCTCACCTGGTTTAGCCCGCCGGTCGAGACGGTTGCCCGGGGTGTGGCCGCTGAGCAGAGCCCAGCTACGTGGAGCCACATGTGAGAGTTGAGTGCCAGCAAGTGGACGCTAGGCGCAGCCTCACCTGCAAGCAAGTGAGCGACCACCACGACCATTACGTGAACCCACCGCTGACACCCCTACACCCCATCATAGCAGGTGAAAAAAGTCCTTTGTCGAATAAACGAAATGAATGTGACTGGATGATGGACGTAGTGGCCTAACTGCACACATGACTATTACCAACAGTTTACGGGCGCTCACTATTCATGCTTTGTGTGGAATTAAAATGCACAGATAAATATAAAACTTCACATTCAATGTAGTGTCAAAAGCCTACAAAGTGGATTACTACAAGTTTGACATGTGGGACGAAAAAAACAGAAACCCTGCGTACAGATGCATAGTGCACAGCTGCAGCGTAATAACAGACGCGGAGAGCAAACATCGTTTTGTAACACGGTTTCACCTGCTGCTTGTTGAGTTCGGGACATTCTATTTTCATATTGACCCAACTGTGAAAAACTCGGCGCTTCGGTGGGATTCGAACCCACGCAGTAAGGGGGGAAGGCTTTAGTACAGCCAACGCTCTAACCACCTGAGCTACGAGGCCCCGCCGGACGACGCAGTTGTAAATGGCATATGCTTTATAACCTCCTGCCGTGCATCAAAATATATGGCAGCGTGGGCAAATGGAGGATCAGACCACTAAACGCAATTCCTCGGAGGAAGCAAAAAAAGTTAGGGAATTCGATGTGTACATTGGAACTATCGACAAAATTCCACTATCAACGACATATGAAGATTCAGCTCGTCAAACTAGATTGTTGCTAACAGGCCGGTCGAGACTGCGTTTCTTTGAGTCCCCGAGTGAAGTATCTTTTAAATAATTCCTTGACCATGTCACGTAGGCATGTGACCCTCACTGTTGTGGTTAGGATCTCATTCGATCCCACTCTGTCTGCGCGCCAGCTTGCTACTGGCGACAACGAACGCAGTGTCATAGGACACATACCCCATATAATACATAGGCAGCTCGCCAAGAGTGCAAAAGGCCAGACGCAGACAGCGGTCTCACGGTCGTCACTGATCGTCAGTACGTCATAGGCCTTGTGACCGTTAACCGTCTAACTGTGCGACTTTTCCGTCTGTATTTCAGACGTGGAACCGGCGAAGACTATTTTGTCTAGCCATAGTGTCTGCCAAGCTCATCGCCGCATCCGTTGCTCCAATCTTGGTCGCGCCCAAGTAATGGCATTGTGCCCATCTGTTGATAACAACGTCCCCAGGTGGCTGTACTCACGTGCACCTCACCTCATTTTCTGCTTGCTAAGGGTCTCCAAACTTCGTCCGTGATTTATCAGCCCGTCATCTGGGAATCCGTACTCGCTCAGAATCCAGCCAATAGCCACCGAAAAATATCAGCTCCATGCTACTGGCCTGGAAAAGTACAGTGATTGGACACTGGAATAAGTACCCTTGGTATTACAGGTAGTCTTGTGCTCAGTCCCAGCGGAGGATACCTATACCCGTGTCCTAACCTTGGCTCAGACCCAAACGTAATCCTCCTAGCCGTAGACCTAACACTAGCCCTCCTAACTCGGAAACTAACGCCAACACCAACCCTAACCTTCCTGAAATTTAGCCACCCGTGCTACGGGGAGGGGGGTTATTTCTGCACCCTATTAGAGCGACTACTCATGCTGATGGGAGGTCGGCGTGGGGCTGCGGTCAGTCGCAACATATGTATATGCCTAACTCGTGTTTTCTTCGCCCGAGATCTGCAAGCTAAATCCGTGATTTGCCAGCCCGACACCCGAAAATCCGTATCCTCACCCCCAACCATCGGACCGATAGACGCCGCAGAGTATCGATCCCATGCTAATGCCCCGGAAACGCGCGTCTACGCGTGCTGGTGAGGGACCGGTGTGACGACGCAGTCAGCTGCACCGGATAAGCCTAATGCATATACTTTCATAGTACCCTTTGTTGAGGCCGAGAGCGGCGTGATATGACACCAAGCGACTAGTCCAAGCCAATGAGACATATGTAGTGAAGCGGGCATGACGCCTACTTTACGTGGTACCGACGGGGGAGAGTGGAAGCGGGGATACCGAATGGTGAAGTTTTGGTTGAGGAATTTGCTGTGTGCTGCAATGAGATCGGGAAGGGGGAGGTGAGGTCCCAGCGAAGGACAAAAAATGCGGAGCAGGCGGACTGGTGACATTTATCAGTATTCTGCAATCAAAGGAGAAACGCCAGTCCTCAGTGTCGATATTGGAGACGGTGTGCAAAAGAGACGCTCAGGGGCTTTCGGATTGCTGTACGAACCCCCCTAGATGTACTCTAGATGTGCTTCTGCTTCAGCCAGACGGACTGCGGAAAGACCGAATGACTGGTGATATGAATGCAACATATGCCCCTGTAGAAGACTACTTTTACTGATAATGGGACAGGTGGGGTCTGGGAAGTTAGCGGAGATCTGTCGAAAGAGACAGACAAGGTCCAGGTCGAGGACAGCAGGTTGGGGGGACATCTCAGAAGAGGAAATATTCATAGCGGGCAGTGATGGTCTGGCTGCCGCGGTCGATCAGGTCGAAAGAGACGAGAATGTCTGTCCCTCCTCCTAAGCAGGGATGGTACAGGGAACGTCCGCGACAACAACAATTCGGGGCAGGAGTCGCCAGGGCCTGATCTCCAATGAGAGAGTGGGCAGGAGCCGACGGGCTTAGTGGTGGCAAGGAGGAGGAGGAGGAGGAGGAGGAGGAGGATCAGGAGGATCAGAAGGAGCAGGAGCAGGAGCGGGGGAGACGCATTGAGGAGTCGTAACAACAAATGTGGTGACACAAGGAGTTAATGGCTGTGCTGGAAATAGGTGAAGGAAGCGAATGAAGCTGGCAAGGAGGTGGCCTATACAAGCTTCATGATGAATGAAGAGCTTTCTGCTGTTATTGCAGAGAAGCAAAATATTGGGCTACTTCCACCGTCTGGGACTTCAGCTAGGGAGACAGGACGGAGCAGAAGCTGTAAAGATTGAAAGTGGAACGAGTGGGGCTTTGTGAAGCCGGCCATCTGAATGTGCCATGCAGTCGAGAGAGAGAGAGAGAGAGAGAGAGAGCGCGTCAGATATGAATGTAAAATACGTTCCTCTTGTCGTAAAAGGGTGTACACTGTCATCACCCGACCATTTCGGTAGTTGGGCTCGAGGAAAGTTGGTGTTCTCACAGGCTTATCGATTTGCCAGGATCTTGCAGTTGTTGGGGCAGTGGTTGTACTCTGAGATGCCAAAATCCTCATTCAAATTAGCAGGATAAGTCAGAAGAAACCAGAATGAGAGGTTCATTGTGTACAGAATCTGGAATTTCTGTCTCAAGCGGCAGTGACTGTGGTGTTAGCTGATTTTATAGAATTTTAGGAGAAGGCTCATGCGCCTTGTGTCCAAGTGGCGTTTTACATTACCCGGGGGTGGTGTGTCTGCTGTTCTGTGTTTTATTCGCTGGGGACATGGACAACTGTGACCGACTGAATACACATGTGTGCGCGTGTTGCAGCCGACTAGAATGAAGAGTCAGCGCGTATGGGACCTCTCACTGGGAAGGTGTATGACCTTTACGCGGTAGGGCACTGAACAAGGACACTGGGCGGCCGCTCCAGAAGACGGTGCGCCCGACACCCACCTCCTCCGGTTGGCCTTGTTTAGAGAAGCCAGCCTCACTGAGTGCGGACCCACCCCAGCAGCCCGTAGTGTGCGGAGGGGAGATGGGGACGGGGGGTTGTTGTTGTTGTTTTTGATGTTGTTTATTTCAGTGTTCCGACCGTGAGTTCTGTGTTGTATTGGCCGAGGAATGACATGCTCAAGTGGGGCGTGGACGACTGTGCCCGCCCGAATGCGCGTGTTTCAGTCGGCTTGAATGTGGGGTCAGCGCGTCCGGAACCGCCTTGAGGCAGTGGTGCGTTGAAAAAAGACGCCGGGTATCGTAATGACAACAATCGGCCGCGATCCCCAAATTAAAGGCCACGGCTTTCAAATGAAAATTCACAGTCCCAGTTGCCCGCGCTCCAGGCCATCCGACGCCCATGAGCCGACCGCTGGACTATCTGGACCCTGGCATGCTAGACTAATTAGGATGACTGCATCCACCTGGGCGGGCAGCGTCGGATCCTCAACGAGGCTCGACAACAATGACGGCGGCGATCGATACGCGCGAGTCATCATGCAGACACGGTGTGGTTATGCAGGCTGACGCAAGGTGGGCTAGGCCAGAACGTTTGAGGCAAGACAGGAAAACCGGCGCCTGATCATCTGGCGCCACATTAATTGCACGAAGATTGTGTAAACTCGTGTCGGTGAAGATTGCCAGTGACCCTTCCCACACAACCACCGACTCCCCTCCCCCAACATTTGTCAAACACTCGTCCACTGGCTCTTTACGTCGGCGCTTTCCACGGCCTCACTCTGCAGCTGCCCACAGCGCTGAATTCCCCACCTACTTTCTGCCCATGCCGACGCATCATCCACCTGGCCTGACTCATGTCTTTCCTTGTATCATTCATCGTTTCACGATATGCTAAAGTCCTTATTCCCAGTATATACACACACATATATAACCGAGATAGTATGGATTACGAGCTGATGAGACTCCTTGGGGAAATTTTTTAGTTGTGCTCGTGAAATTTCACGTTGGCGACACCAACTCTTCCTCAGACGAAATAAATAGGACAGATGTGGAATTACCAGGCTGGAGCGTTTGGGATCATGGACGCGACGTAACCGGAGTACGAGTTCGTGAGAGGGCGGTACAACGCTACGATCAGTGTCAGATTGGAAAGGGGTGCGGTTGCGTCCCGCTGTGTCACAGGCGGAGGGAGAGGGAAGGTAGCGGGTCAGTGAAGCTTCAGACAGATTAATTGTGGTTACTGTAGAATGGATACTGAGACTTGGCAAGTCATCCACAGAGATTTTCGTAGCGTTTGCGTTGGCCACACAAATCCTGAAATACAGTAAATGTGCTTCCTCATGAAATGTTAATCGCGACTCTGAAATGTGCTTTCAATTCGGGAAGATTACCTAAGTAGGGTTGCCATGTTAATTTTCGTGTTGCATAATGTCAGGGTAATCCAGTCACGTCAGGATGCCGGTTCTCGAAGGAGTTTTTTATTGACCGCCTGCGTTAGCTGCGCTCCGCAAAAAAATACCGTTTAAGGAGCATGAATTTTCCCAATATATTCTCGATGCTCTTAAAAATTTTAATATATTTTATATAAAACATTCGCAGAGATATTCTTCTTTTTATTTATTTAGTATAAAATTACGTCTCCTTTAAATTTTATGCTTGAAGGAAGAGCATCTGACGGTTTTAAAAGTTGATGATTATAAGATTTTTCAAAACCGTGAAATTCCCAACCATACGGCATCGCACTAACACATTTATTAACGCAGTCTATCAAGAGGACAACATGGTTTATATCCATTACAAAATTTTATGAGCGCTATATGTCCTCTTCATAATAACATATAGAAATACATTATTTTCCTTACATGGAAAGTATACAGTTTCTAATTTGGGAACCCTGAATGCGAGTGTAGCGGCTGGTCGAGTCCAACATTTTGGAATCGATACAGTTTTTTAACCGAAAAACACTCTTTCTTCAAGCATAACATCTAAAAAGATGTAATTTGCCATAAAAAGACAATCTGACAAGCATACGTAAGATTTATATAAATTCTCTTCAGGCCTGTACATTTATATTACTATCGAAATTATTAATAAGAAAATGCGGGTAAGTAGAAATTATTCTGTAGCTAGGGTTTGTGGGGAGGGGCTGGGTTGGTGAGATGAAAAACAAATTACCGTCACCGCGAGGGCAGAAGGGAATGGTGGGCACTGGGACGGGTAATTACACGCGGGTGGCTGGCATGGTGGTTTTGGCCCATGGTAACTGTGGGGCCTGTACGAAATTCTTTTGTGCACATGGAAGTGGTTTGTATAGCCTGATTGCAGCCGCCTCTGCAGTTTCCAACGCCCGCTGTCCAAGTGATTTTGGATAGCCTGACGGGACCTTGCAAATCACTTGGAATGCCCCTCCGGCATCTACACAGTGATCCGTGTCTATCGCGTGGGCGAGGATAGAGCTGTTGATGTTCTTTATTTAGTCATCAAATGAATAGAGGAGAGAGTATTTTGTGAAGGTTTTTTTAAAAATATGTTTGAATTTGTGAGGGCATCGAAAATCAGTGGGGAAAATTCATGCTACTTAAGCAGTAATTTTTTACGGAACGTAATTAGCACAGGCGGTCGATAAGACGCTCGTTGGAAAGCCGGCATTCTGGGGCGACTGGATTGCCTTGGCATTATGCAGCACGATAATTAACACGACAACCTTACTTAGGTAATGTTTTCGAACTGAAAACAGATTTCGGAATTTTAGTCTACATTTTATGAGATAGCACATCTACCGTATGTGACCGCAGTTCGAGAACTAGCATTGTTAATGTTTGCAGTATGTCGCGGGTGTTGCCGAAAGTTCAAAGGCCACTTGGCTGTATATGAGTTTCAGATCGGGATGTTCTGCGAATGTATTGTGCGCCGTAGAAGCTTTCTAATGAATATTAGCTCCGGAAAGTCTTATTTGGACTTTCACCCTTTCTGACTAGACACTGGCGTGTGTTCTAACTAATAGTTGCTGACTGGAGTCAAACCCATGCCAGAATAAACTATCTTCATTTCGCCATGATCAATGATACGGAGTAAGCCCCGTGAAATTTCAAGACAATAGGCGCTTGTTTAAATCGTGACTGCTGTAGGCGGAATCAGGAGTGCATGACGCAAATGGGCGAGAATTCCAAAAATTGGTACAGCCAGTGGAGATGTCACCTCATTCCGCCTTTAAGGTTTGGATTTGCCAACCGGCGTGGACTTTATGCTGTTCCGTGTTGAGGATAAAATCCTTCCTGACACATATTCTTCAAAAGACAATTTGGCGAGCATACGTCTACTTTCGATAAATGCTCTTCAGCTCTGTACATTTCTATGGCTATTGAAATAAAGAATGAAGCGTTGCGATCAGGTAGATAATTATTCCGTCGCATGGGTGTGTGTGGGGGAGAGTGAAGCAGCAGAATTTCAGTCAGTAACAGGGGTATGGTGGGCACCGGGGCAGCTAATCACAGTAGATGTGCTAACTCACGAAATATTGATCGAAATTCTGAAATGCGTTTTCGACCCGAGAATATTACTTAGGTAGGGTGGCAGTACTACTTGCCGTGCAGCAAAATCCCGGGCTATTTCAATTACTTAGGGACGCTGGCTTTTGAATGGGCTTCTTTCCGGCCACCTACAAAACCTATACTTCATAAAACACGGCTACTTAAGTAGTATGATTTTTTCTGATTGATTTTCGATGCCCTTATAAATTCAAATATATTTCATCGAAAACACGCGCAAAAATATCTCTTCTCCTACTCATTTGGTAGACAATTATGTCTTCAGATTTTGCGCTCGAAATAAGGGAATAAATTGGTTTTGAAAAATTTTTAATTGTGATATCTTTTAAGACCATGAAATATTAGTTCATAAAGCGTCCTGTCTCTGCATTTATTAATGTTGCTTGTAAAGTTTACAATATGGCTCAGGTCCACTGTTAAATTTCATGAACTCCATATGGTCTCCACGTAGTACAGAATAGAAATTTGTGCTTCTCCGTACACGGAAAATACACAGCTTACAGTTTGGAAATCCTGAATGAAATTGTAAGGGCGGGTCGTGTTCAAGATTATTCAGGAATCGGAAAAGTTTCTTAAAACCGAATTATACCCTTCCTTTAGGTATGAAATTTGAAGAAAACGTTATTTCTACGAAAACAATTATCACTTCTGCTGGGAAATAATTTTGCTTGGACAAGACTGAGATATAACCACTCCACTTCTCCCCTGCCTTTCCCCTGAAATTCATGCCTGCATGGTTGCTACCTACCTTCGTTGAATAAACGTCTGCATTTGACTATCGGTTTCATAAATGATACTTTGGGCAGTATGTTCCCCATATTCCTTTCCCTGGACTACAGTGGTCCAGTCGACATTTAGCTATTTACCCTGAAAAGGCCATATTTGAAAGTATACCCACCTTACGTATTTGTTTGTTATTAATGTACGCCATAAAACCGCAGAAAAGGAAGGCGTACTTACGTCATGCGACAACATAATGTGGATTCACTTCTATTTATATGGTACAATACCCAATGATAATTACGTGTGTGGTTAAATGCATAAGGCTCGGTACTTAAACAGCTCAGAGTTTGGTACGAGATACGCAGTTGAGAACTGTGTGCATTCCCACCCCCAATGCACGGAATTCCCATTCCCCACACCAGACAACCGACCGGATCGGACAGTGGCTTGGGCCTGGGAATAGGAATAGAGAGTGAGGTTGACAAGTAAGTGCATTTTCCTCACCATAAACAATGTGACACGCTTAAAAGCTATCACGGTGCGCTAAAGGCCGTGGCTTGGAGGACTACCAACTGACTGGATAGCTTGGGCCTCGCAGTCGGCCTAGTGTTGTGTGTTTGTGCGGAGCGGCTGACTGATGGACTGAGACTCAGGCTGTAGTGGCTCCTTCCTATGGCACTCCTGCCTAGTGGGATCCATGCTGCCTCACTCTTCTCTTGTTGTACGTGAAATCCTGGCCATGTCTTTGTTGTGGACTACGGGGTGCGGTGGTACGCCTAGGTGAGGGTTTTCGTCGTGCCAATCACCTGCGCCCTCTCCCACCTCCGGTCTTCTTGACTTTGTCTTGACACTGAGCCCAGGTGGGGGAGGAGGAGAGGGCATGGTAGATGAAGCGTAAGTCCATTGTCATTATAAACTAATTCACACGCAGGTCACCGTCCCTGATCTCACTCCGCTGTGGAGCGCATGGTGAACGTCGTCGAAATCGACGGTTGAACTGTCAATATTATCTGGAGTTGGCTTTGCTGATACCGTCCCCGCCGGCATTATGAACCGCATGCAAAGATGATTAGGGGTTGGTGTTGGGTTTTCGGCGTCTGCAGTGTACAGTGCGTCCTGGGGGGGGGGCGAGTTAAGGGGAGGAAGTGCTTATATTTCAGTCTCACCCTTACCTGTCCTCGTTTTGGCATCCATGAGATGGTCAGGCTAGGCCTAGTTTGCACATCATCGTCAGCCCGAAGCTCGGAGCAGAGTTTATGTGGTTAGTGAGTAAGCAATCTACCACAAGCTGCAGCATCAGGCAACAGTAAACGCCCATTTTGCTCCTGTGTTCTACATAGGCCGGGTAAAAGCGCTTTCAGGAGACAGGGAAAAGTGTCCGATGGTTCGCGGATCCCAAGAGCTGACTTCCCTCGCCATCTCACGAAGTAAGAGTGCGTGGAGTTATTTTTAGTAGTGAAGCAAGCCCACGCCACATCCAGCATGTCTTCTAGTCCCACATCTACAACGTTTTGAAGGCAGGACAAAGTAAAGGTAACCGCAGGTGGGCGTGGACACAGTGGATGAGAAAGACAGTTCGTCCATGCGCGCCCCATTGAACCTTGTGCCTAAATCTGTACACACAGACTTCGGTGAGAGGAACTCGGACCTCATATGGGCTAGAGTGTTATAAAGGCCACATTAAAAAGAGGTCAGTGTAGTCAGATTCGCAATCATAAGTGTAATTGAGTAATCCCATCGGTTTGCGTCATTCAAGACAACAGCCGTGTGCATGTCGAGATGTTGTACAGTGCATGCAGTCGGCACTGGACAGGAAAAGAAGCGTAGCATTCGGGCCGAACTGTCTTCATGCGCTCATGCACACGACAGTTTGGCTGTCGATCTCGACTTTGTTCACCGTGTGCCCCACAACAGGGTAAGGGCAGGGACGGCGATTTGCGCGTAATTTAGTTTAAAGTGATAGTAGACAAGCACAGCATCTACCGCGCTACCTCCTTCGCACCCACCTGGACCCCGTGACAAGAGAGAGTCATGAAGACCGGAAGCGGGAGAGAACGTAGGTGGCTGGCGCGGCCGGAGCCGCCCCTAGTCCTACCACAAAAACCCCTGGTCCACAACAAAACTTGATCAGGATTTTAAACAACGACAAATGTGGGAGGAGGGAGGGGGCACCTGGGATCCCGATTGGCGTAGCGCGAGCCTGCAGCTGGGCCTGACACCACATCCCGAATGTTGGCGTCTGTTATGGGTGTGCATTGCCGATAACGCCTGACGGACTCCGATCCGGTCCCCGTCTTGGTCCAGCGTATATACCGCGTGACGCGTTTGATGAGCACAAACACACCCGCTCTCGCTTTCCCTCTTTCTCTTCCCCCTGTGCCAGTGGCCTGTTAAGGTCAAACCGACTGAGGTGATTGACAGTGATTGACAGGAACTGGAGCCGCTGTCTGACGAGTGCCCGACACGGAATACCATCTCACAGAAGTCTGATATGTCATAGAGTTCACATCAACAAGGAACCACTGCAATCTGACCCTCGTCCCAAGGGAGGACCAAATTGACGAGCCAGCCACGACATTTAGCCATCTTGGTAGTTCAGATGTGTCAGCGTTAGTGCGGTGACGAACGCGCAGATTTGCCATAGAGAAGGGTGCCGCTGGGTCGACCCTGCTTCCTCTTCCCTGCGGCCGCATGCGCTAGTGGCCTGTCCAGACCTGTTGAACGACTGGTGGTGAAAATGAGTGCGAAATCAGCATGAAGATGCGGCATCGACTGCGGCATTTACTCCTAACGCGGACTCTGCCGCAGTTACTAATTGGCCACAACATATTTCTTACCCAGAGCGATGTAGACGGGAGGGTTGCAGTGGTGTCAGGAAGTGTAGACTTCCCAGAGGGAGGGGGGATTGACAGCTCGCACGCGTTGCACACTATCAATTCACTGTGGCGGGGGGGGGAGGGAGTCTGCGCTAAGCTCTGGAAGGTGGCCTCTTCTCCAAACCTTACCCCGGTCATCACGATTGAGGAGGGCTTAGGAGGTATACAAGCACGCCTTACCGAACGAGTGCAGTTATTGATCAGTAATTAGCTCCAGTAGTGCGGATTATTGTCACCCCGTCTTTCGGTGACAAGAAGGACTGAACGTTAATCCGACCCATACGCATGAGCTGCCGACGACTTGCGCGAGTGGCGGTTTGAATTGTGGATCTGTGATTGGACATTTTTGAAGAATCAGCCTTCATTTTGCGCGATCGAACAGCGACAACCTTCCCTGAGGCGTATTATTGCACTTGCTTTGTTTCTGCCAATTCGGGCTAAACCAACACCATGCTGTAAACGTTTTATCTGCCATAACAGTTGCGACGCACCACTGAGTCCTTTAAAAAGCGAATTTGTTCACGTTGGCTTGTCGAAGTCACTCTTCTTCAGTCTGTTCCATGACAGGTGCTACTTGTCGTTTCGTAAACAAAAAATAGCCTACAAACTGCACAATTGGGTGTGTTCCCAGGACATGCGTCGTTTAACCTCTTTTGTGAAGTCAACCCTGCCTGGCTCAACTGTTTAGACCTTCGCTCACGCCTCATGGAGCCGACTGCGCATCCCTGATGCACGAAGGCTGCAACTCTGAGTCGGCGCCCTGGAGTTAGAGGCGCTGTCATTTGCGTCAACTCCCCGATCCGAATTTTCCTCGCAGGATTCTGCGATCTTTCAGCTCCCAGCAAAAAAACCTGCATTTTTATGGTAGGATGGGGAACTGAAGCCTAGTCTTATGAAAAAAAGGCAGGACTGACTTACGTGGATGTCTAAGCAGGGCATGAGAACAGGAACCAACTGCAAGACGGGTGGCTTTGTGCCGACTTCCAGGGAAATTAGGGTCAGGTTTAAGGTCAAATTAAGGATTAGGTTTAAGTTTAGATTTACGGTTAATGGTAACGTAATCCAGGTTCAAGTTTAGGGTTAATGTAGGGGCTAGTGTTAACTGAAGAGTTAAGGTTTGGTGTAGAGTTAGGGTCAAGATAAGTGCAACGGTTTAGTGTTATTGTAGATTTCTTGGTAAATTTAGTCGCGCATATAAGCCAAAACAGATTTCGGTGTACATACGGTACTACTGATAGAATAAGGTAATAATAAAAACGTACAAACCTCAACAATGATACCCTAGACAAAGAATTCCTTTGTTACTGTTCGAGCAAATCGAATTCCCAGCTCCAGGCCAGAACACAAAAAACGCCAATCACGTTCGAAAGAGGGTTACAAAAAGGGGGGAAGGGGAATGTCAGCAGGGACCAAATGTGGAAGCACTTGCGAAGAGGGTGCGGAGAATTCCAAGCGTTGACCAGCTGGATACAACACTAATATCAGGGTTATTGTTTGGGTTAGGACAGGGGAATATTTTGCCCTTTCTATAATTATACGCAGATCCGTCTTTGTCACGTAAGCAGGGCGTTCCTTATTCCATGTTCTGTTTAGAGGGCCACAGAAGTCAATCCCGCCAAAAAAAAACTCGAAACGAGCAACAGTTGGTGAACGGGATGTGTAGTTTTAATTTCGCAGTCTGCATGCCATGGTGACACAAGGGAGGTCCAGGTGTTGTAATTCTACTGGTTATCTTCCGACCACAACGTCTTCGTTACATCCGTACATATTCGTTATCCTTTATATTGGAGAGGGGGGGGGGACAAAAGTTAATCACCAAAATGTCCTTCTTTTTAGTGTTACTACCCACCACTCCAGTCTTCGCAACCTCCGTATTCAGCATGGATGTAGACCAGCAGTTCAAGACGCACAACTTGAGACGGACGTGTGAGAGGGCCCTACATGCGAAATAACACTACTTATTTGAAACATGCAATATCGTTACTCAATACCAACCGCAGAAAGTGGGCGTAGATTTAGCTGCGCCGATACCTTTGGAGAATTGTAGAATGGGGTACAGCCGATTAATTGAATGATTTGGGGAGACATAATTTCGTCATATGTGCGGCCAGCACATATAGTTTGCCAGAATGCTCACCTTCAAATAAAAGACACCAGACGGAGAGATATCGCCTCCGACGTAGAGCAGCTGAGGTAAACCCTTCGTCAAGACCGCCTAATCAATCCCGCTCCCGGCAAACACTGAAAACTGGTGCTGATGTTCAATCAATTCGAAGTTTGAGACAGGTCGGATGTCAGAGCCTAAAACTCGAACAATGCTCTACTTCTTCGCGCCCAGCCCACGTGTCCCTAGTCGTGTGCTAAGAATACCTTGACGAGTGATTTAAAGACCCCCTTAAAAGATGCAGAAACGAGTTGGTATTGAAATTGCTGTCCTCCCAGTTGAGGAGTTTAACCTTTTTGGAACAGCATTAGAGGATTGTTTATGTTCCCTTCATGGTTTTCTTTGTAGTGGTTTTCTTCTACGGGGAAGAAGTGGACAATTGGGCTTTTCAATGAAGATACTGAGGGCCTTTCTCGGCTGGGTACATGGCGCCGGTTCTGTTAAAGTCAGGGTATGCCAGGAGCTCAAATATTCCCTGTCAGTAGAGGGACCCGTTGTCTTCTGTTCCATCCTTTGTGCGTTCTTCAAGGCCTGCATCCTTGCTTCCTCCGGACGAGCCACTTTCAATACCAGTCGGTGTAATTTAACCTATGACGATCATCACTACTCTTTTCCGGACTTACTGTCGTCTTCTGTCTGCATGCTACTTTGTTTGTCCTGATTTGACAGCTGAAATTACAAAAACGTGCACTCCGAGCAGTTTAGTGGGCTACGGCGTGTCAGCAAATAAAGTTACTTATTACAGAGATCCGAAAAACTGGAAAACTGACATCTGTAAGGGCGGATATTTCCGTTATTAAGACAGATTCACACTACTGTATTCCGGAACTATACCTGTCAATTATTAGACGACTGGGAAAAAGACGACGGAAGAACTTGCATCAACTGTCCTTCAACCAGTTGAGTTCTAAAGAAAATTTCAAGCTTGGTGACCCCTTTACTGGCGGTTCAGCAAAATTTCGGCTAAGACAGTCTTGGATCCTGGCATCAAAACGGCCGTGTCGTTACCCCTACATTGTTTACTTCTGCTTGGTGTGACCGCAATAGTGTCTGGTTTAGTCGACCCAATGAGGTCGCTGACTGTGCTTTTCCATGCAAAGAGCCTGGTAAACCCGACCCCCTGTCGTCTCCATCTGTGAGGGCCGAACATAGTCAATCGAAAAGCAGCCTACATCCTTGATAGGCTGTTTCGAACCTGATTTTGAACTGACCCGTTCTTTGTCCCCGCTGAAAAGCTGGCAGCATCGGCTTTAGGACAGTAGCACTGAACACACGAGGTGGTGGACACGAAGCGCACGTGACCCACCTCGAATGTCTTTTTTAGATAGTACAGGATAATCCCCCAGTGTCGTCACAGAGAATGCGAACTCTCTTGTTTGAGACGCAATCGGCAGAATTTCCTCTTAGCTTTGGCCAAAAACTTGCACTTTCTGTTTGTCCTCCTTTCTTGGAGTCCAGCATCCATGGCCGCTGAACAGGGCTTATCTAAAGGATGCCCAGTGGCAGTTGTGATAGCCTTTGACTCGACGAGGACGTACAAAAACATCGTAACCCCACCCTTACCCATCTGGCAACAACTTTGCTCCGAAGTATTTGAAGCCGCCTACTTTTCAAGCCAATGATCGTTAATCCCGAGAAGGTCCTTCTTCCAGTGTGAGCTGCAGCTTGAAAACAATGTAACCTTTGCAGCACTGATGGATAAATCGCCATGATTTACAAGGCTCATTCTCTACGACATGCTAGCTTGACACTAGCCAGGTGATACCGTGGAGGCCAGACATCCGCGCCATGTTGAGAATATGACTGCTAAAACGCGTAGAGCCCTTCTACGTACCCAATCAGTGATGCAGTCTCCGTCCTCATAGCATATTTAATGCCTGAAGGTCGTGAATTCGAGTGCAAGCAGGACTTTTCGGCGTGAAAACTTCTCGTCTCACCCCTTTGGCTGCATAATAAAGGGAGGAGGAGGAGGAGGAGGAGGAGGAGGAGGAGACAGAATGCAACCTTGTAGAACTCCGGCCGAATATCGAGTGATTGGGTATAATCGTTGTTGACCAGATCTGCCACAGTAGTGGAGGGGCAGTAGACACTGATCAAGGAAGCAACTTTTACCGTCACGCCGTCCGACACTCTTATCCGACAAAGTGCCTCACACTGACCGAGATCGAGCGTTGAAGTGAAGCCAACGAAGCAGATGGCCATCGGTTGGTGGGATTCACGAATACATGGGGAGTACTTGGTTAGGGAATTCACGCTCAGCTCGGATCCCCGCTTGGTTGGACCTCATCCTCTAGTCAGGCACCATTTGAAACCCTCTGAGAATGGCAAAGATACAGACCTTTGCGGCAACATCGACGCAACCTTGTCGCAGCAACCCTCGCACTTTGTTTTGTTCCGCCTTTTTTAAGAGAGCCGTAACTGGCCTTGATTAATTTCCGAATAAATTCATGCACGAACTTGGAGTAAGGCCTTCGGAACAGACCTCTACAGGCGCGGTCCGAAATTTTATATGAATATATGAGCTGAAATCTATCGGCTACTGCGGCGTAACCGCGTTATATTCACAAACCGCCAACAGGCAGCCAGTAGTATACAATTGTGTAATGATTTGCCGTACTGACAACACAGGTACTAATTAAAAGCCCAGACATGCGCGTTTCGCCGAACTTGTGCCGCTGCCTGACGCAGCTGCGAGGGGTTCGGCTCAGCAGTGGGTCCCCCAGCCTTCCCCGTGTGTTTTCTGGTATATTAACACTCCAGTTCCCCCTTGCCTTGATTAATTTCCGAAGAAATTCATGCGCGAACTCGGAGTAGAATCTTCGAAACAGACCTCTACAGGCATAACTATGACTGAGTCACATTTATCAGGGCTGATCTCGTCGTCCTATGCTTGTTTCGTCATTTCATGGAGCTAGGGCTCCAGAGTGTTAGCATAGATTTCGGCGCGTCTTTTTATTGTGTATATTTGTTATTGTGAAGGCGGATGACAGGACTCAACATAGGGTGTGAATAATGGAAATCCACTCCCCGAAAGAGTTAAATGGTAATGAAGTGGTCGTTAGAGTTGAGGTGCTCGAAGTACCTCCACCAAATTGCTAAATTGTCAGCGATATAGTCGCCATTCCTATCGTTAACAGTTGCCCAGTGTAGGAAACTTATTACTAATTTGAAGCAAACACAGACAGCAGAACTTATTGGAACCAGTAAATTTCGCGACGGCTTATCACCTGCAGCCTGCCGTTGCATAACACAGATAACAAATGCGAAAGATACAAAGATTTGAACTTCGGCAGAGAAAATCAGAGTAAAACAACAAGGTCATTGTATACTGCGCGCAAACGAATCAATAAAATGGTAACTTGAAAACGCAACCTGGGAAAGAAAACGGGAAACTTAGCACGCAGAGAGATTGCGCAAATCAAAGGGCTCAGATTTACCAGGGCAAGCTGAGGTTGACCACGTGGTCTAATTGTGTGCATAGATCGGGTTTCTCCCGCCGTATGTAGGCTGCCTCCAAGTAGCGCAGTATCCGAGTTGTTCGTGCTCGAACTAATACTCCAAAAGATGTTTTAGGGTCAATCGAATGACCGCTATCTAGGAAGTGCTTTGTGAATGAAGACCGTGGAAGCTTATTCTCCTGCTTTAGAAGCCATTTAGGCAGGTGCTCAAATGACCTGGCTGCCAATTGCCTTTTCGTTCGCCCAATGTACTTGCATCCACAAGCGCATGTGAAGTCATAAACACAATTTGACGTGACATGCAATGGCAAGGCATCCTTTGCCCGTGGAACTTGGATAGCCTTAGTGGGAGTGCAGAATATGAGTTCCGCTGAGTTGTATGTTTTTTTTCAATGGCGCATCTCAATCGCCGCTTGATGTTATATGAGATGTTGTCGCCCTTAAAGTGTAAGGATATTACAACGGGCTTTTTCGGAACTGATTTCTCCGTCAATTTTGGCTATAGTTTTCGATGAACCGAGTTGGATATCCACGTTTAAGCAGGGTTGTTTTGATGCAGAAAAGTTCAGCATCCAGTGTTTCAATAGAGCCAATGTTTCTTGCTCTTTGGAAAAGAGTGTAAACCGGATTTCGCTTTCGTTTTATCGGAACGAAGCTCAAGAAGTATAGGTATTGACCTTTCCACGTATCCTTGTGGAAAAGCGATCGCCTGATTAAACCATCTTCCTGTCTAGTCATGAGGACATCCAGGGAAGATAGCTTGTTACACTGCTCCTTTTCCATTGTGAATTTGATCTTCGGATGGAGACTATTCGTGGCAATTAGTAGGTCTTCGGCTTCCTCGTTACTATCAACAATAGTAAAAATGTCGTCCATATATCTTTTGTATAGTGGTTTCGCATTCAATTTAGCTGACAACTTTCCTTCTAAGCGACACATAAAAATGTCGGCAAAGGTTTGACCAAGTGAACTTCCCATTGCCACTCCATCAATTTGCCTGTATAGCTGTCCATTGAACAGAAATTAAACGTTTTTCGTGTGAGTTTCAACAGGTCACGTAATATTTAGGGTGAAAGACGGGTTTCAGATGCATGGACGCATATAACATCGATTGTCTCATCAAATGGTACATTTGTGAATAGTGATACAACGTTCAAGGATATCATGCATTTGTTGGAAACGTTCTGATATCTTTTATCGTGTAAGTAGAAAATAGGTGTCGTATTGGTTCTACTTCCTTGACAAGCCACTGTGCTAGTCTGTGTTGGGGTGAATTAGACATAGACAGAATTAGTCCTTTTTATGCGTTTTTGGCAATTCATATAGTCTGGGAATACATGTGCCCCTCGGTTTCAGGGTTTGAGCGGTTTTAGCTTCAATCAGATTTTTGTCCAACATTTGTTTAATTATTTTCCAGGCGGAGTCTCCCATTGCCTAGGTTTCATCTTTCCCTGGCGTTTCGAGACGAAATTTACTAGGACAGTTTAAAATGGATTCTATTTTGGTAACGTAGTCTCTCCGGTTAAGAAAGACAACTCCATCGCCTTGCCAGGCTTAGAAATTACTATTTGTCCATGGCGCTTCAATGCAGCTAGGGCAGTCATGTGTTCTTTAGGTATTATTACTAACTTCTCGAATAAGGTGTTGCAGTTGTCGGGTGTTTCGGTGTTCGAGACCCGCTTCGCAATTTAACTGAATCGATCCCTAGCTGTCTGAGCAGGAGGCGACGGTGGGGTTCTTGATCTAATCCAGTCATTACAGTGTCACCGAGTCATTACGAGAATCTTCTCAGCTGCGTAGCAGACTGGGAGCCTTAATGACGACTCTTTCTTACTCTCTTCACCCTCTTCGACTCGGTCTGCAGAGCGAAACCAGATTTCTTCACCCAGAGACTCCGCTGTCGCGATTTTATCACAGCAAGGTGGAATGACGCGCGATATTATGCACGCGGATGAGGTGTGAACGAGGATACCGCTGTGTATGGACCGCTGGCGTTACCGGTCTCAACACCACGTTTCAGTACGCTATCCTGCATGCAACTAAGACGTCTTCAGCTACCTAGCATGCAGTTAGCCTGACGAGGTCAGTAGATGTTTCCGGCAACGCTGGAGGCGTGCCTGAGTGGAAAACAGCAGATTCTAATCAACGAAACTCGGCAACTGTTCACTTCTGTCGCACCGACGGCCAGACCAAAGCGATCACTGAGGTGTTTGTTGGCAGAGCCTCCTGACCCCGGTCGGGTCACCCAGCTCACAGATTACATTTTTTGGCATTGCCGGGGTAGGTGAGAAACAGATGTGATTTTTAGCGTCTCTTATTTTCGTTCCGAGTGCACCTCGTTACACGAATTACGACTGCGTTTCTTTTAAAAAGGAACTCTCTTGACACTTAGCCAATTGTTCATGGATCGATCTGCGCAACTGTGTGACTTGTAAGATAAGTAAACGCGAAATTGACAAGAATGGCGATAAGAGAGTGCGGTTTCGTACGCGTGCTGGAGTCCACAATCAGCGAACGCAAAAATCCCAACTGTCTTCGGTGAGGGTTGCGTGACAATGGGCTGGTACATGCATGAGGTCAAGTCCCGGATAGCAGGGAAGGTGGAAGGCACTGGGGCGGGGAGTTTATTGTGTGCAGAATCTGGCGACGGTGGCCGCTGGCGTGGTCAGGGCGTGTGCTGACCGTTTTAAGTCATACCTGAATGAGAGAGACTGCTTTTACTGTCGACTGCTTTCACACGGGGGCGTGAAAGGTAAGTCCAGATTTCCTGTGTCCAAGCCGTGTGTGTGACGCATCGCCCAAGGACTGGTGCGTTAGAGTCGTCTTTTGCATTAGAGGCTCCACACTGCCTAGTATGCTAGTAGGAGGTCTGGTCGTCAATTAACTGAGTTAGCAGCTGAATATCAGGTATCCTGCAGCAGCAGTGAACCAAATATCAGACGATTTGTGATGCCTAGTCATCGAGTTTCACATCAGCACTGCGCTAACCAGCTAGCGTTACTAATTTACACCCTGCTTGGCTCATGAAGCTGGAGGACCAATCATCACATTCAGCGCAGCGGACGACGTCTGACTGTGAGCCCCAGTTAAACCGGCCTTTAATCAATGAGGCTTGGACATGCAGTGTGACGTCCGGTCAGGGGACGATACCTACGTCCAAATCAGACATGATGAGTTCTGGTGTACTATTGAGGTAGGAAGAGACGTGTCATGACCTCTGTGAAGGCTTCGCGTTCAATGTTCCCGACCTGCTCAGAAGGGATCTGCCGAAGAAGTCTATAGGGTGGCCATTGTGATTAACGGGTCTCCTGTGGTTGGACTTGCGGCGCAAACCGGTGCGTTTCGCCTCCTGCATATAGAGCACTTTTTGTGTGCAAATGCGTAGTTACCATCGTGTGACTCCAAGTCAGCTGAGTCCTTAAACATTGCCCTACGTGAGGAAGTCACTGCGTAGACGGAGGCTTCCCTACTGCGTCAGCACTGCGCCAAAGCTAACTCCCAGCCTTCCTGACTCCGACTGACTGCTGATGCATGAATGAGAGGGAAGCGAAAGTTATGCGGCTAATGTGGTGGAAT